TCCGTACTGCCATACAGGGTCACCTGCTATAAGTCACCCCAGTATGCATCCACTCTGAACTAAAGTAACTGATGCATTATGAGTCCTCTCATTCCCTGCTTTTAAATAAAAAAAAACAAAAAAACAAAACAAAAAAAACAGTTTGCACAAATGGAAGTCAGTCCCACTTTAAGTTGTTTAGGTATAAAGCCTAGTGTTTTGGAACTTATCTTGGACTTATAGCAAGGACAGCCTGTATTCTTATTATTAAAGTATGGAATTTCTATCCATAGCGATTATATGGAACATTTTGGTTCATTTAATTTTTTTACTTCATTTGATTTCTACATTTTTTTCGCCTTTAGTGCCACTCCCCCCCACCCAGCACAACCTGTTCTTCCCTTCCAATATATTTTGTATCCTGGTATGACTGTGCCCCATTTATTGTCCTCACTCCACCAGGACAGGGGTGGGGCTGGGGACTAGCCTCTTCCACAGTTGTCTGTGGCCGGAGGCTTTTATTTAAAAACACAGAAAATGGCTCACAGCTCCAGGCTCCACCGCTACCATGTTGCCTGGCAGCCACCCAGAGTTGCTGCAGCTATTTAAAGGGCTCGTGGCTACAGCCCTTGCTTGGGTATCATTGCAACTGGGAGCCCTGAGCCATTTCAATAGTATCTGGCTACCTGAGCCACTATCTGGAAGTTCGGTGGCATAGGCAGCAGGCTCTAAGTACAAAGCAGTCAGATGCAGGCTGCGCGCTGGATCCAGCCCCAGGGCAGCATCACGCCCAACCCCGATGTAAGGAATGGGCCGGGACACAAGTCAGGGCAGCTGCATGAATGGGAGGAAAAGGGGCGTTGGGCGGGCAGTGACCGTTGGGTGGCACTTTCACACACTGCTCAATAAGGCTCAAACCAGCCAGTCCCTAAAGCAGCCCCCGCGCCTACAGCGGGCTTGGCACAGTGGGGCAACTCATAAGAACAGCCATACTGGGTCAGACCAAAGGTCCATCCAACCCAGTACCCTGTCTGTGAACAGTGGCCAATGCCAGGTCTCCCAGAGGGAGGAATCGAACAGGTAATGATCAAGTGATCTCTCTCCTGCCATCCATCTCCCCCCTCTGACAAACAGAGGCTAAGGACACCATGTACTAGCTAATAGCCATTTATGGACTTAACCTCCATGAATTTATTTAGTTCTCTTTTAAACCCTGTTATAGCCTTCACAACCTCCTCAGGCAAGGAGTTCCACAGATTGACTATGCGCTGTGTGAAGAAGAACTCCCTTTTATTTGTTTTAAACCTGCTGTATTATGGGAACAAGTAAATAACTTTTCCTTATTCACTTTCTCCACACCACTCATGATTTTATAGACCTCTATCATATCCCCCCTTAGTCTCCTCTTTTCCAAGCTGAAAAGTCCCAGTCTCTTTAATCTCTCCTCATATGGGACCCGTTCCAAACCCCTAATCATTTTATTTGCCCTTCTCTGAAACTTTTCTAATGCCAGTATATCTTTTTTGAGATGAGAAGACTACATCTGTACGCAGTATTCAAGATAGGGAAGTAGCATGGATTTATATAAGTGCAATAAGATATTCTCCGTCTTATTCTCTATCCCTTTTTTAATAATTCCTAACTTCCTATTTGTTTTTTTGACTGCTGTTACACACTGCATGGACATCTTCAGAGAACTGTCCACGATGACTCCAAGATCTCTTTCCTGATTAGTTGTAGCTAAATTAGCCCCCCTCATATTATATGTACAGTTGAAGTTATTTTTTCCAATGCGGCATTACTTTACATTTATCCACATTAAATTTCATTTGCCATTTTGTTGCCCAGTCACTTGGTTTGGTGAGATCTTTTTGAAGTTCTTCACAGTCTGCTTTGGTCTTAACTACCTTGAGCAGTTTAGTGTCATCTGCAAACTTTGCCACCTCACTGTTTACCCTTTTCTCCAGATCATCTATGAATAAGTTTAATAGGATTGGTTCTAGGACTGACCCTTGGGAAACACCACTAGTTACCCCTCTCCATTCTGAAAATGTACCATTTATTCCTACCCTTTGTTTCCTGTCTTTTAACCTCTCAGTCCATGAAAGGATCTTCCCTCTTACCCCATGACAACTTAATTTACATAAGAGCCTTTGGTGAGGGACCTTGTCAAAGGCTTTCTGGAAATCTAAGTACAGCCGATCCCCAAGCTACGAACGGTCGATCTACGACCATTTACATTTATGACCAAACCTCCCATTACGCAGTCGTAAAAGCGATCCCCGAGTTACGAACGCAACCTGCGCTTATGAACAGCGCGGTCGCAATGTAACTCAATGGGGTCCGAATTACGAACATTTCGAGTTACAGCCAAGTGTTTGGTCTGTAACCCGTTCGTAACTTGGGGACCAGCTGTACACTATATCTATTGGATCCCCCTTGTCCACGTTTGTTGACCCCTTCAAAGACCTCTAATAGATTAGTTAGACATGATTTCCCTTTACACAAACCATGCTGATTTTTGCCCAACAACTTATTTCTTCTATGTGTCTGACAATTTTATTCTTTACTATTGTTTCAACTAATTTGCCCGGTACTGACGTTAGACTTACCGGTCTGTAATTGCCGGGATCACTTCTAGAGCCCTTTCTAAATATAGGCATTACATTAGCTATCTTCCAGTCACTGGGTACAGAAGCTGATTTAAAGGATAGGTTACAAACCATAGTTAATAGTTCCGCAATTTCACATTTGAGTTCTTTCAGAACTCTTGGGTGAATACCATCTAGTCCCGGTGACTTATTACTGTTAAGTTTATCAATTAATTGCAAAACCTCCTCTAAGGACACTTCAATCTGTGACAAATCCTCATATTTGTCGCCTACAAAGGATGGGTCAGATTTGGGAATCTCCCTAACATCCTCAGCCATGAAGACTGAAGTAAAGAATTCATTTAGTTTCTCCGCAATGCCTTTATTGTCTTTAAGTGCTCCTTTTGTATCTCGATCGTCCAGGAGCCCCACTGGTTGTTTAGCAGGCTTCCTGCTTCTGATGTACTTAAAAAACTTTTTGTTACTACCTTTTGAGTTTTTGGCTAGCTGTTCTTCAAACTCCTTTTTGGCTTTTCTTATTACATTTTTACACTTAATTTGGCAGTGTTTATGCTCCTTTCTATTTACCTCACTAGGATTTGACTTCCACTTTTTAACAAATATCTTTTTATCTCTCACTGCTTCTTTTACATGGTTGTTAAGCCATGGTGGCTCTTTTTTAGTTCTTCTACTATGTTTTTTTTAATTTGGGGTATACATTTAAGTTTGGCCTCTATTATGGTGTCTTTGAAAAGTGTCCATGCAGCTTGCAGGGATTTTACTTTAGTAACTGTACCTTTTAATTTCTGTTTAACTAACCTCCTCATTTTTGCATAGTTCCCCTTTTTTAAATTAAATGCCATAGTGTTGGGCTGCTGAGGTGTTCTTCCCACCACAGGAATGTTAAATGTTATTATATTATGGTCACTATTTCCAAGAGATCCTGTTATAGTTACCTGTTGGACCAGATCTTGCGCCCTACTCAGGACTAAATCGAGAATTGCCTCTCCCCTTGTGGGTTCCTGTATCAGCTGCTCCAAGAAGCAGTCGTTTAAGGTATCAAGAAATTTTGCTTTTACTTCTCGTACTGAGGTGACATGTACACAGTCAATATGCTTCAGGGGGTAGCCGAGATAGTCTGTTACCAAAAAAAAAAAAAAGGTCTGGTAGCACTTTATAGACTAACGAAACATGTAGATGGTATCATAAGCTTTTATCGGCATAGCCCACTTCTTCAGCTGATTGGAGTTCATATGGGGATAGTTGAAATCCCCCACTATTATTGAGTTCTTTATTTTGATAGCCTCGCTAATCTCTCTGAGCATTTCATAGTCACTATTACTGTCCTGGTCAGGTGGTCAATAATAGATCCCTACTGTTGTATTCTTATTAGAGCAGGGAATTACTACTGATAATGATTCCATGGAACATGTTGATTCCTTTAAGATTTTTACTTCATTTGAGTCTCAATTTTCTTTCACATATAGTGCCACTCCCCCACCCGCACGACCTGTTCTGTCCTTCCGAAATATTGTGTCCCCCAGTATGATTGTGTCCCATTGATTGTCCTCACTCCACCAGGATTCTGTGACTTCTATGATATCAGGATCCTCCTTTAACACCAGACAGGCCTATGCAGCACTTTAAAAACTTCTCCCTGTTTGTCTGCCCTTTTCTGATGTGTCGCAACCCGGTGACGTCACACCCGCAGCGTTTTCCCCTCCCCCAAGCCAGCCAGAGGCGAGAAAGAGACACGCATGACGTCACGCTACACGCAGTCTAAGAAAGTGCTCCCGCCTCTGTGAGCAACGTGCCCCGCCCCTCAGCCCTGCGTGCAGCTCTCTCCCTTCGCAGCCGTGGCTCACACAGTGCGCATGCTCGCTGGCCCCTTTGGACTCCTCCAGTCTTTCCAGCCCAGGGGCGTTCTCTTCGGCGCTGCGCGCAATGCTGGGGGTCGCCTTAGCGCCTCTGTCTTTTTAACCTGCCTGTGCTCCCGCCTCTGTGAGCAACGTGCCCCGCCCCTCAGCCCTGCGTGCAGCTCTCTCCCTTCGCAGCCGTGGCTCACACAGTGCGCATGCTCGCTGGCCCCTTTGGACTCCTCCAGTCTTTCCAGCCCAGGGGCGTTCTCTTCGGCGCTGCGCGCAATGCTGGGGGTCGCCTTAGCGCCTCTGTCTTTTTAACCTGCCTGCTGCGAGAGATATTTTCCCCCTCGCTGGCCGCTTTAGGCTGTGCCGCAGACTTGAGTCTCATTAACTGTCGCTGTGTTTGCGTGGAGTCGCCTCTAACCTCTTTCGGACAGTACTTGGTTTATCCCAAAATGGCGGCGCCCGCTGAGCTACAGTGAAGCGCCCCGTTCTGTTCCTGGACGGGCCACGTGGGCGTGAGCCGGCTTCGGAGGGT